AATCCTGACTTGAGCATTGAGTAGAGTTCTAGAATACGACCCTAAGTGTTACAAGTCCGCAAAAGTCTCGTGCCACTTTTATTTTGATTAACGATTGGTCGAATCACTATTTACTATCTAATGTGATATAATTGATCGATGTATGATAGATATATTTTCGTCTATCTAAAATCAATTTATAAATCATTATTTTTGAATTGACTTTGTAACTATTATTATTTTTAAATTTACTTTTGTACTAACTTGCCAGTTTCGAATCATGGTGAAAAGGTTTTATATTAAACACAGGGTGTTTTATGAAGATCCAACGATGATTCTAATAAGATACTAATGGCAAAGTTTTTTTTCTTATTATTTCAAACAAACATTTTAGTTATGAATAAAAAAGATTTTAATTATTCAAATTATCTTTTTATCAAAATGTAAAACACATTTTTATGTTATTCAAAACAAAAAGACTAATAATAACGCACACACTTTCATGACTTCGCACTAGGGAAACCCTGTATCGCGGGTGCCATGGACACACACATAGACAACCACAAATTACACCCAAAACTCACGAGAGAAATAAATGTAGGCCATACAAATATTTCTCCCGGCCCGGTAATCGAACCCGGGACCACTGCGTGGCAGTCCAGCACGATAACCATTCGGCCACTGAGGCTGTTAAGTTCATTAACAGCAGAGCTACTTGTGTAAGAATTCATCCAGGGAAATACTGTCACCATATCCATTTCTGCGGCCAAGTAAGGGCTCTAGTGAAGTTACTAGCACATAGGACTTGTTAACGTCATGCCTCAGTGCACGAATTGTTCGTTCCGTCACTTGATATCATAATAAAAAAAGAAACAAACGAGGAAGCACGTATCTATACTTGCATTTTAGTAGCAGTAGATCTCCTTGTGAAAGAGTTCGTCCAGGGAAGTACAGCCACCTTACCCATTTTTTCCGCCAAGCAGTAATGTCAGCATTACTCTGTCCAGGTTTTGAGGGTGCTGGTGAAATTACTGGCACATGGGACTTGTCAATTTATGTCTCAGGGTGACGGGCGCAGTGGCAGTGCCACATCTTTGCGATTTAAAGCTCTGAGTGGCACTAAACCTGTCATGGACAGGCGTGTAGCTTACCGTCAGCCGCACGACTAGTTCGTCCCGTCACTTGATATTATAAAAAAAAATTAAGGTATGTAACGTGGATGATATTTCCAATAAAAAACTTAATTATTTTTATGTTAATGAAAATATGCAGCTTATAAGCAATCCTTGAGTAAATGAAAAATCCACAAGCCTGAAACTTTCGTTAGTTTGAAAAATAAATATATACGCAATTTTTATCGGAAAAAAATTGTTTCATTTTCTGTGTGTAACAATCGCGAAATTCTAAGAACTCAATAAATCCTTGAGTAAACTTTGTGCTAATCTCGAAAATTTGATATAACACGAAATATTTTCGTAATTTTCTTCACATTGTAAATACATGACAAAGCAATATTATAATAAAGTGTTAAGTTTGATGTGCACGGGCCGTTGTCATATAATACATAGTATAACGATTGATTGGTGAGCACGCTTCATGTCTGCCACACTTGGTACGTGATCAAAGAAAACATTTTTCAAAAATAAAAAATTGCATATCCCGTCATTTTGCGTATAATTAGTACGAAGACACGTTCACATATACCGTTACGATGTTTAATATGATGATCTAATACATCGGGAATTTATATTTTAGAATTACAATATGTACATTTTGTTGAATTTACGTTGGTTTTTTTAAGAATAATTTCTGGATTTATCTTTGCGTTATAAAGACTGATGCAGATGTTTACCGACATTAAAATGGAAGTGCTTATTTTTTTTTTAATTACGCAACGCGATGGGAGTCCTTTTTCTTAAACTTTTGTTGTACAACAGGTTTAATTAAATTTAAGGCAGTAATCGGGTCAGATATTTTGAAGACAAGCGTCTTTCGTTTTCGTCCACATCTTCGCCCTAGATTGTGGACAAACGTAAGCCATCTTACTTATCGTCTCTTATCATTTCAATGGCCATACAAAACTATGACAAAAAAAATGAAATTATCTCAACTCTCGTTTAGTTTTATTTTTCAAACCACTAATGTTTCGTTCTTTTACATGTCGCAAGGTCACTGATGCCTAACAATTATTCATTTATGTTCATGGTAATAACAAATTTTATTTTGTAATGTATGTTGATAACACAATGCGATATATATTATTAAAATGAATACTCTTGTTCTTTCTTAAAATCTTTATTTTAGTAAATTCATATCGCAGTTCGACCGACTCCTGTTTCAATGAGAAACTCAAATGCGAATGCACAATACTAATGTAGTGAATCACTAACACCGCAATTCAATTAACCACAGAATGGTTTCACCTACTCTCAACTTAAGGAAATCTTACATCACTTAATGAAGATGGATATTCAGGCACGAGATTGTGTTTCGTACGAGAATTGGAATTATGCAAAAATCGGCACTTTGAAATATTTTTACGATGTTTTTGAAGGTTGCTTTTTAAGTGTCACCCTATAGCTATCCTAATAATGATTTTTTATTTTTTACAGCCTACTCGAATTATCTGTGTAATAAGTCAATAGCGTCTCTTGGGGTTCAATTTTTTTTTAATTGGTTCATTATAGAAATTTGTAAATATTATTGAAAGTATTCAACTTGATATGCTCAAAGAGTCATCCGGTCCAATAAGTATAATAAATAGAATAATGAGGATTAGGCCCTAATTGTCAGTGAGCTTCACCACCGCGTCCATATCAAAACGCGTGTACTATATTCGTTTATATACACGTGCTGAAAGAGACGAAGAGTGCTGAAGCGTGCTGATAATGGAGTGGTTGTGTGTATAGCTAACAAGAATGTACACAACTAACTCTCGCACTTGTCATTTCCTCTTAAACTCTAAACACTACGGTTTAAATTACCGTAAAAGCGCAATTATCTACGGAAGTTGTAAATAACAGATACAAAAAGTTGCTTAGAACCGATGTACCGGCCTCTCCAGAGGCATTAATAAGAACGTAATTAAATAATATATTAAGAATATTGTTTGGAACATGTAACTGTTTAGACGTCTCTATAACATTTGCGTCCTGCATTACTAGCATGTGATATAAATGTTAGTGGTATATTGCATTGCTATTACGTATACGGTCGTAATTTATAAAATTTCTATTGGTCTGACGTATGATTGATTTTCCATGCACATGTATTTATACAGAAGTTGCGTTTTTAGGCCACTTCCATATTGTTTTCTATAAGTTTCGTAAACGTGCGGTATAGAAGTTTAGAAAGTAAGTTATACTTGCGTTAGGAATATCATTTTTTTTTGCCTGTGAAACTTAAAATTCACATTATCGTTACTTAAAATAACTTACATGATTATGAATTAACTTAGAACAGTATCTTTAACAGTTGCACAGTTTAGCGTTTACTAATCAAACGTAAAGCATATTAATATGAGTAATTTTCACACCCATTCATAAAGTCCTACGCTTCATGTAAGTACGTATTAGTTATTGTTAGAAATTGTTCAGAATCGTGTTCGTAATATTGTGTTTTCGACGTTGTGGGTGTCATTATGGTGTTAAACATTTTAGTAGGTGGGTAAAGGTGTTTTATATCGGAAGTTTTACTTTGAAAATTGATTAAGTTTCAATTATTATTATTACATAATAATATAGATGTAGACCGGTTTTTATGGTGTCGCCATTTCTCAGGTCCCGGGGTCGATCCCCGGCCGGGGCAACGTAGAGAAACTCAATTTTGTATATTTACAAGTGCTTTAGTTTACTTTGTTACTTTGAAATCAGAGTTTTCTAATTTGAATTGTCTAATATTTATTTATTTATTTTATTGACATTGTTTAAAAAAATGGAATGGAGTGAGTGAGAGACTTCAGCAAAAAAAATATGTAACAGCAAAATAAGTGAAATTTGACGTTAAACCTTTAACAAGTTTCTCAGAATTTTAAATGTAAATTTTTAACTCGCGTTTGGCGGTATGAAAAACAACATTATATTCAGTAGTTAAAATTTCTTAAAACCGAACTTTTGTTCTCAAATTATCTATGTTCACACAAGTGTTTCCCTCGTCATTGAATCACATATCGAAGGCTGGGCGCTGTGAAACTTTAATCTGTCGTGGCTGTATTGTTTTAGTCTCATTGTGTTGCTGCGGACTGCAGTCTGCCATACCACCGGCCCGTGAGATCTGGGTCGGGGTTCAGGGATCTAATTGTGATACGTATCTTTTTTGTTGACACTTTTAGTTTGCACGCAAAATGTATTTAAAACCGGTTGCTTTTTAACCGTTACGATTTGGAGCAGATAAGTAAATAACGCTACCATAGTGCGACATAGTAAATGTTATTTAACTTCTTTATATATTTGACGTGTGACTACATAAGGTATTATTCACTCTACGTGTATCACTTGACGTTTAGGTAAAATATATTATGTCCATTTCCAATATCTGACTAGCATTCTTAAATAATTAAGATATAAATCTTTATAATTTTTATGACTGCACTGAATTTGTTTGAAAAGTAGTTAGAGCCGTGTTTTTTAACCTTAAAATTAGATTATGTTGTCTTTTTGATATTATTTAAATATCATTACGCCTGTATTACGCGTTTTGTTTACTGAATACGAGTAATGTGTTTGACCTGTACTTATAGCCTTATTAATACCGGTATAGAGTTTTGTTTATTTTGACACTGTTTAAATTTCTTGATAAGTAACATCTGGTATTTTACACAATTTTTCGTACGTTATATAATTGTTGGCGTATTTTGAATTTACCATCAATAAAATGGGTCGGGTTTTAGTGTTTGTCAAGTTGCAACTTTTATTACATAATGACCAGTGAATTTGCCGCTTTGCACAGGTAGCGTACGCCTTATATTGTGACATTTACTTACAAACACAACCAAAATCTTTTGTAAACAAAACAAAGCTTACATTTATTGATAACGGTCGAGGCTGCAGCTTAATCACAATTTTCATGCACGTTCAATTGCACATATCACGAAGTCACTGCACTGTCTATTTATCGGATCCCACTTGTACAAGTCACTGGCACATTTCAACTGTTTGGAAAAGACCGGCAGATAGTGGGGGTTGGCACGTGTGATCCGTAAGTCGGTCCAAACATGAGTGGCGGTAGTGGTAGGGCGGCCGGTGTAAATACCTCTATAAACTCGTGCGCTGCGCCTACGCATACAAGTGTAAAATTTAACTCGCACAACCACAATTCCGCCTGTACTATTTACACTGACGCATTGTCTTGTGGCTTCAACTTTTTTAAACGAAGATGAGATCCCTTTATTAAAAGTATTCAAAGCATGCTAAATTATAGCCTGCCTCTGACAGTCGAGACGTTTTCTCTGCATTTTCACTTTCTATGGACTCGTTTCTAGATTCTAGTGCCTTTGAATGTTCTAGGTAGTGTGTGTCGATTGACGACTAGCTTTTGCCCGTGGCTGCGTTCGCTGATCAGTTGTCAGTACTCTCCTTATCATAACGAATGTATTCCACATCTTTAGCGAAATTGAGTTATTAACATATCTGGGATATGCCAAACGAAATCTATAACTCCTTCTGATCAGATTTTTAATGTCTTATTTAGTATCAATGTTATTATCGAGTTCTTAGGTTTTCGCGATTGTTACACATAGGAAATGAAATTATTTTTTCCGGATTTAAATCGCGTATAATTTGTTTTTTCAAACAAACCGACGTTTCGGGCCCTTTACAGGTCCCA